AAGCCCATGGTGAATGGACAGAAGTCGGCTAAGGCAGCCCCAGTTCCAGGGAGGGGAAGGGAGGGCGGGATTGGTCTGTTCCCAGGAGCAAATTTGGGAAAGGGGATGGCAGACCCTTCATGGCCACTGAGGTAGAAGCAGGGCCCCACCCCTGCCCTCTCCTCCCTTCCCTTCTCCCACACCCTTCCTGCTTTCAGCCCAAGCCCACCACTCTCACCTCCTTGCTTACTTACATGGGAGAGCCCAGAGAGGTGCATGGTAAAGATAAAATTAAATCGAGTATCCTCTATTTAAAGAAGCGCTTTTAAACGGTAAAAGATGCTATGCAAATGCAAAACAGAGGTTTGATTATTGTTAGACTCCGAATCAAGCCTGAAATCACTTTAGAGCTTGTCTCTGGCTCCAGAAGGGCTGTCACCCTGGGCAGTTCTATCTTCCTCTTCTTTGTCCCCGTCTCCGTCTCCCCGAAGCATCCACCAGAGGACGCAGCTTCCCCAAAACTTTCCACCCTGCGCTTGGCTGGAGAAACTCTGTCCTTGCTTCCCTGATCGCCCGGGCCCGCGGTTAAATCACCGCAGCCCCAGGCCAGGCCGTCCGTTGCCATGGTAACGGAAAGCCAGGGCGTCACCATTGTCCGGGTGGGTGTGTTGGAGTCCTTGCCTATACATCCCCAAGACTCCCTGCCGGGACTTTAGAGTGGGGGAGGGAGACCGAACCAAAAAGACGCCCTTTTTCCCCCTACCTTCTCGCGCCCCCTTCTGTTCAGAAAGTGGATGGCTTCCCCCGCGCGTGTCCGCACTAGCACACCGGCGTTCACGCGTGGTACGCAGAAGGCCCAAGCCTCGCGCTTGTGCAGCTCCCACCCTACCCCTCAGAACTTTCCCCGAACTCTGCCCCTCCCCCATCGCTAAGGCAGTCAACTCAGTCTAATAACCCGGTTCAGCACTTCCCAAACCCGCAGGGGCCCACTAGACCAAACCCGCGCGCTAGAACCCTTCTCCTGAGCCCCCGTTTCCCCGGGGCTCCGCCCCGCTCCTCTGGGCCCCGCCCCCAGGCAGTGCGGGGCGGGAGGCGGGGCCGGGGGCGCGGCCGCCGGGCTGGGGGCGGGGCGCAGGGGGGGCCGAGGCCCCGGGCGGGGGCTCGGCGCGGGCCCGAGAGATGCCGGTGTCGGCGGCCCGAGCGGCTGCAGCTGCAGCGGCGGGGGAGGCGGCAGCGGAGCCCGGGAGGGGGGCTGCGCGGGGGGCCGGCGCGTAGCCGGGACTATGGAGGGGCAGAGCGGTCGCTGCAAGATCGTGGTGGTGGGGGACGCGGAGTGCGGCAAGACGGCGCTGCTGCAGGTGTTCGCCAAGGACGCCTACCCCGGGGTGAGGAACCGGCGTCTTGGGAGGGGGGCGCTGAGGCCGCGGGGGTGGGTGACTGGGGCCTGGGGGACGGACGGAAATGGGTGCTGGGGTAACCAGGGATCAGAGAGAGGGGCTTGGAGGACTGGGGAAAGCGTTGGGGTTTCTGAAAGGACTGCAGAGGTTTTGGGTGGGAGGCATTGGGGAGCAGGGTGAGATGAATGGGGTTTGGGAGAACCGGAGGATCCCGGAGGGGGCGCTAGGGGAATGTCGGGGGTCTTGGGCATTGGAGAGGGGAAGAACTAGGGCCTGAAAGGACCGGGAGGGGGTCCGGGAGCCTAGCAGAGATTCCGCTGAGGCAGCTGCTCCCGGGATCTCCCCTTTGCCCAACACCGGACCAACTTGTGTCCTCGGGCTGGGCTGCACGGGGTGTAGGAATGAGGAGGGCATTTGTCTGGGGTGAGCACTGGAGGATCTCATCTTGAGCCATTCGTGTCTGCAGAGTTATGTCCCCACCGTGTTTGAGAACTACACCGCGAGCTTTGAGATCGACAAGCGCCGCATTGAGCTCAACATGTGGGACACTTCAGGTAGCCAAGTCCCTCGGGGTCACCCTGACTTCCAAGGCCCCCACCCTGCTCCCTCCCTGGACTAGACCCTTAGGCTCCAGGTCAACCCAGCCCATCCATCCTATTCTAGGAGGAAGGAAAATTAATTTTCTGCTTAAAGCCAGGAAAACTAGGCAGAGCTTTCAGAGACACATAGAAACCTTGTCCTGAAGGAGAAAGCCCAGTATCCCATCCCCTCAGCTCGATTCTGCATACCTGGGAAAGTTGGGAAGGAATGGCTTTTATTTTGGAACATGTTTCTTAGGAGATAGGCCTGGGTTTAGGAAAGACATTTAGAATTTCTTTTGGGGGCAGGAAACTGCTTCTCTAGACTGAACTATAGAAATCTGAGATCAAGTCCCGGGAGGGTGGGAGGGCTCTGCCCCTGCCCCTTCCCCTACAAAAAGGGAGGAATTTTTTGTTTTGTTTTAAATTTTTACTTGGCTCCCCTGGAGAGCTTTAGAAAATGTCTGTCAAAGCCCAGAAGGCGCATGCAAAATTTTGTGAGAATGTTGAGAGATTTCATGAGCTTCTCAAAGACTCAGAAAAGATTAAGAATGATTACTTTTAGAGAACCCCCTAGGGAAGTGGAGAGCTGTTTTCTGCCATCTAACCTCCCCTCTGTCTACTCCCTTCCTTGGAGAAACACAGACTCCTTGATGGGTATTAATACCTGCTCTTTTCCATTCTCTGCTCAGAATCCCTTGACCAGGATTGCTAAGGTCTCCCATTCCCTTCCAGGCCTTCTGCACACTCAGAACCCTCGTCTGTCCCCTCCCTCCCTGTCTTCTCTCAGGTTCCTCTTACTACGATAATGTCCGGCCTCTGGCCTATCCTGATTCGGATGCTGTGCTCATCTGCTTCGACATTAGCCGACCAGAAACACTGGACAGTGTCCTCAAGAAGGTGGGAGCCTAGGGAAGCAGGACAGCTAGACTGAGGGGGACCAGAAAACACATGGGCCAGGAGGAGGGAATTACAGCTGAGCATGGCCGTCAGGGAGAGTGTGTGTGAAGCTCTCCCCCTCCCCAATCCCCCCCTGACTTCCTGGAAATCAGTCCTCAGAGCTGGATATGGCATCTGGGGGAGATGGGGGACAACAGGGAGGAGTACTCAAGGGACTTCTTGTCCACCCTCCCCATCTCCTTGGGTGTGGGAGCTCCAGATGGAGGGGATAGGAATGCTGCTGCTGGAGCTCAGGAAAGCCC